TATCCGAATCCAGATCTAAATAAGACAATACATATCCAGAATTTAAATATCCGAAATCCGATCGTAAATTAGATGAATTACGTAGCTTGTTTATAACATCTTTCATGAAGAAAAAAAATCATAGTTTTAAAAGTTAGTAACTCACGTGATCGTGACACGTGTCAAATCTATCGATATGAGATTTTGTCATGTGTCAAATAAATATTTCATCTTTAATAATTAAAAAGGAAAAGATAAATTATAAGAAAATTATAAATTTTAACAGTTTTATAATGTAAAAAAGATAATTACAAAAAAATATACATATATTTCCATAAAAGATTTTGTCATGTGGCAAACTAAAATTTTGTTTTTAACAACTTAAAAATTGTAAAAAAATAATTATAATAAAAATATAAAGTTAAAACAGTTTTAAGAATATAAAAAGATTATTATAAGGAAACTATACATATATACAAGGAAATTATATGTATATTTACCATAAAAATAGAAAGTATAAAATAATATTAAACATTTATAAGTTACTATATAAGTATACAAGAAAATGAATTTAAAAATAGAAAAGGATTAAAGAAATTATACAATCAGTTATTAATCCTACTAGTATTCTTACCCCGTACTACGTACGGGAAAATTAATTTATGAAGTTAAGGTAAAAGGATATGATCCATTGCTTGTTTTTTGATTTCCTTCGTTCCTGATTTCTGTTATATAAAAGAACTAGGATATGACCCGCGGTATACCGCGGGAAAATAATTTTTTTTTTTTTTATAAACTGATGAACCTATTGTATTATTTGTATGTTTATTGGTACCGTAACGTAAGTTTGATTCTGTACGATTTTTAATAAGATATAACTTTGCGATATTCTAAGTGTAATAGTATGTGGTTTTTATATCGTGAAGCTACATTTGTTTTAGTTTATCTATGTATAGTTATATCTTACAAAATCAGACTGATTCGATATGTCTAATAGTGGTGTTAAAAAAAACTAAATGAGGGTCCAACCCGTATTAAAGTGACCAGTTAATGATATTTTAAATTTTCTTAATATTCATTCAAATCTGTCCTCGTTTTCTTCAAAAAAACCGTCTCGCCATATAACCCCGTCATGCAATATAACTCGTTCCGTATTATTTAAAATCTTTTATATGTTTAAATATTCATAAAATTATAATTTTTATTGATTTTAAATATATCAATTATAATATTTAAAACTAAAAAACCTAATTACAAAGTCTAGAAAATAGTTGGTAATAACTAAATCACATTGATATTCTAAAAATGTATACTAAAACACTTGACAAACATAACTAACGCCATCGTAATTACACATTTCTAATTGCTATTCAATCTCCAAATTATCTTGCCATTTTTGTAGGAAATATTTTTATTTGCATATATTTTTTATTGTTAGAATTCAATCTTTAATTGTTAGCATTCGAACTTAAAAAATCATACCAAACTAAAGTTAGAACTTGGAAGTAAAGTGTACTTAAAAATAATAAAATATATAGGTTAGAAAATAAGAAAAAACAAACGTGTGGTGTGATAATCTTTTTATGAGTGTCAAATCATATAGTCATAAAATAGACATAAATACATGAAGTCTTACGAAAATCTCTAAAACTATTTGACATTTCATTTACGATTCACAAAAAGACCAAATATCCAGTTCTGGAGCCATTTACCCATATGAAAGGCCCGTTAATATAAGACCAAAACAATGTATCATTGATATTGTGGACCAAAGGGTCCGTTAGTGCCCAAAAAGTGTGAGATTTTTAAGTAAAAAAAAACGTTGTCTCGGCAAGTCTCTCTTTCTTTAAAGATAGACAACACATCAAAGGGATGACGATGATTGTCATTGATAAGTGATAACCTCAGTTTCTCGGTCCCTGCTTCCACATACCAAAGGTAAACGACTTCCAAATCTTCAACTTTTCTTTCAAGTTCCGCAAGTTTCAGACACCGATCAATTGTTTCTCTTCAGATTAGTGGATCGGTTAGGTTCGAGCCAATTCCAGATTCATTCGGAGCCACCATTATTGTCAATCGGACGGTTGTTGTTGCTCCACCGTTTTTCTTCGTTCTACTGCGATAAAATTGGTGGGTCTAGTGAGTTTGATATGAAAGTGGATTTATCACAGACGCAGATTGATGGTTTTGGAACCCAGATTTCAACTCATTCCTCTTGGTAATTTCTTTGAAATCACTGAAAATTTAAAGAATCCATGCAAAATCCAATTAGAAAACTCTGTTATATTGATTAAAAAAAAGTCAAGGATAACAAAAGGGTATGAACATGAGTCTATCCAAAGACATAAACATGATTTTCTTGATTACCATGTTATTGCCTCTTTAAGACAGTTTCAGATAGATTAAATTTTGTAGCATGTTTTCCTTTTGTAGTGTGAGCCTGTCAGGTTCATCATTTATCCTTTTGCCAATTCAATTCTTTCACGTTTTTCATCCTGCAACAAATTGAAAGGCTTATCATTCATAAGAACTAACCAAAATCTTGTGTTCAATACTTATGGGTATATAACTTTTTTTTTTCTTAAATGGTTGATAGTTTAAGGGAGTTTAACATAGATGATGCAAAAAATTTAAGAACAACCGTATATGTAAAATCTAACAATAATGATGAAGTTAAAATAGAGAATTGAGTGACTTACTCAAGAAAGTCTTTGTTTGCTTTCTTAGGTTTAGTGAGAAGCAAGGAGACCGTAGAGAAAAGAGAATGGCAAATGAACAATCCATTAATCTGTGAAAGGATTTTTATCGTGATAAAAGGTACAATGTTGGTGTGAGATGTACAAACGGTTTTGTGTTTGGTGAGTTTAGATCTTGGAAAAGCACGTTTATTTATAGTATTTTGAGAAGATTGGTATGGTTTTTAGGTTAGAGATTTAAAAAAATTTGGTGAGCAAGTGAAAGATATCTTTACAAATCTGTGTATCGAGAATTTATAGAATATGCCACATATATGCTATGAAAAATAAAAACAAAATCGTTTACTTATTTAACATTTCTAATTCATTGGATGAGATTGAATTTTGAATTGATATTGTTCATTTAATTTAGGAAACAAACTGACTTGCATCAAAATCTCTAGTATTATAATAGAAAACAATTTGATTGTCAAATATTGGTTTGTTTGAACCATATATACGTAAAAATATTGTCAAATCTTCCTAAACTAATTACATGTCGTATTTGTAGAAATTAGGCAAGATCTAATTGAAGATTTCCCATCATTTTAATTTGTTAGGATTTTGTTTAGGAAAGTCTCACATTATATGGATCCGAAATACTTATTTAAGGATTAAAATCAATAAGTAGATATTCAATTTGTTATAACTATATATATTCTCCATATTTTTCAATTATGAGAAAGTAAATGTTGTTTGCCTTGAATGTAGGGAATATCAAGTAACTAAACGAATATTTAGTCGAATTACTTGATTTTTTTTTGGAAAGTCTCATTTAAAAGAATCCGAGAGTTTTGATTGGCTATTGAGTCGGGTCAAAAAAAAAATCCGGGTCAAAACCCGACCCGATTGGCTTTGAGCAAATTTGTACTTCAAAAATGTTAAGTAGATAAAAAAAAGATTTTTAGAGAGTAACATGAGAGATAAAAGAAAAACTTCTATATATTCCATTTTTTATTTTGATAAAAATAATAATAAGAATACACATCAGAAGTAGAAAGAAAATTAATCTAATAAAATAATAAAATATACTTACGTGAAATTCAATGTATATACATCTTGAATCTTTTGTCTCTCAACTTTCAGAATTTTGGAAAGAGAAGTAAACCCTAGGTTCTTCCGAGATAAATCTTGCATGTGAGCGAGACTTTATAAACAGAGGCCATAGTAAAAAAAAAAGTAGAGAATAGTGTGAAATCCAGAAAAATTGAACTCGGAGAAGAGACGTTGCATGCCAACATCGGGTTTGTAGATTTTAGGAGAGAAACTGTTATTTTATCTTTTGTGTGGAGCAATCTGACAGACATCACACATATATAAATGATAGAATATAAGTAGTTATTTAGAGATTGCTAGTGAATGGTGATCGTGGAGGTGTGGGAAAGATAGTGGATTTTGTTTCGTAAACAATTTATTTTTTGTAAAAATCTTGGAAGTTGACACATATAGGAGGTTGATAAGAACGTGTGGAGTGTTTTTCTATTTTGTTTTTTATTTTTTATGTTTTTTAAACAAATTCTTTTAATTTTCAATTAAAAAGTAAATTCTATGTGGCAAAATCTTATTGGTCAAGTGACTTGTGCTTTATAAGATAAAGGATAAGAAAAAAAATTGTAGATACTCACCAAACGAATTAATTTCTCACCAAAGAAACTAATTTCTTGAAAAACAACACCATTGTGTTAACTTCATTCTATTGGTATAGATTTTTTTTGGTCATAACTTCATATTTTGTTTGTTTCAGTTTTACTGTTTGTTTTAGTTCATATGCTGTCTTAACTACATTCTTGGGATAGTAGTTTAATGTAGGGAACAAATACGAAAAGGTCTCTAGATGTCAATGAATCCCAAAGAACAGATTCGTAGTTAAGAGTTCTCGTTCTTGTGTATCGATGGATCAAAAGAACAGAGAATTCAAAGACTTAAGAAGAGAAGAACTTCTCTGTTTTATTAATAATCCAAAAGCTGCTGAAAACCTTACAAGAATAGAAGTTTATACTACTCCAAAACATTAGAAAAAAACCCTCGTGGTCAAAGCTTGAACACCAAGCAAAACCAAAACCGACTCTAATTAAAACCCAAGACAATTCACGAAAGTCCAAAAGTAAGAATAGAAACAATAAGTAAAACAAAATAAAAGAAGAGTATAGATGACGCTGCATCATAGTTACTTGGCTTAGACAACAGACGTAGAGAAGAGATCACAAAACATGATTTCTTTTTATGTCTAGATTTTTCTGTATGAGGAGCTTTTAATCAAATTTCAATGAAAATACCTTCATAAAACAGTCACTAACTGATTTATTTCTTTAGAAATTGCAACAAAAATAAAACCTTGTTCAATTTGTGTTTAAAATGCATCAAGCCATGTCTTCTTTTGAGCTTTCCAAAACCGATTAAGCAACCACACAGAATCTGCTGCCATGGAGTTCCCATCTTGGTTCCTATTCCAGCTGAAGTAAGCATGAGTTCTGTTTTTAATCTCTAGCAACCCATGCCCAAAGCTAGCTTCTCGAAAGGCGGAGTACTTGGGTTGTGGCTGCATCATGCTACAATATAGAAAAATCCAGTCACATATAAATGCAAAGAAAGTGTAGATCAGTTGTATATCAGTAACAGAGTTAGTTACAGAGTCGGTTACAAGTAAGTTATAGATTGCAGAATATGGTAAACTTACTCGGTAACCAAGCCTTCCGAGTTTCCTCCATCCCCGATTGTGATGTATACAGGAGCTGACTCATCCGGTATTGGCTCACACAGTCCATTGACAATGTTGTAAGCAATGTTAGAAACACGTTCCTGCGTCATTACTTTAAGATCACTTGGGGGACAAGGCAGGAGTAGACATAGATCAATTTTATTTGGGGACGAGTAAATTAACTTACCGATCTCTCATAGGCATGAACATGACCTGCAAACACAACATCAACCTTGTATTTAACAAACCATTGTTCGTACATGACTCTCAATGTTTCACCTTCCATGTAATGATGCACATAGCTATGGTAAAACGGGCAATGTACTAAGACGATAAGCCATGGAGTCTCTGTTCGATTCACTCCTTGCAACTCCTTTTCGAGCCATTTGTATTGAGGTGTGTATTTCCCTAATCAATATGCAAAATTAAGCAACAAGCCACTAAATAATTATTTTTCTTAAAGAAGTTCTTCTCTCCAGTTCCTTACCATAAGACGAGTAACACGACATAACAATAATATAAGCCGACGCTCTTTTGATGGAATACCACAATGGAGAGATACTTCCTGATGCCTTATATGGCGTATGATACCGATTCATAAAAGGCTTGAATGGTTCTGTTTCACCCTATAAAACAACCTCTTCAACTTTTAAGCAAAAATTAAGAAAAAAGAAACAAAGGAATAATATTCAAGTCTTACAATGTCAGGAACGAAGTCGATTTCGTGGTTGCCAGCAGTCCATATCCAAGGTTGATAAGCAACACTTCTCTCAACGAACCTTCCCCAAGTATCCCATCTATTGTTGTCATGGTTAGGGTAACGATCCGCGTAAGACAAGTCTCCTACAAACAGAACCGCCTGTCCTTTTCCTGGATTCATCTCATAATGACTTAACGTACTATTTGAGTCATAAGTTTGTCCTAGATCCCCTGGAAGGTAACAGAAAATCACACATTGGAAAGTTGTTTGAGGCATTAATCAAATGTCTAAGGTTTTATATGAAATTTAAAGACAATATTTAATGTACCAATTAATCCAAAGGTGTAAGGTACGTCAGGGCCTGGTTTAGGCGGAGTGAAGAACCAGAACCGTCTGGACCACTTGCCACTCCCAATTTCATAGTAGTATTTCGTATCAAACTGCACACGACCATATATAACAAGTAAGAATAAAAGAACAGTCACAGCACAATACAAAAGTTGTTAAAGTAAAAGGTGTTTAATATATACATATCCGATCATGTAATGAATGAATAAGAATAAAAGAACCGTCGCTAAATTACAAACACAAAAGTTGTTAAAAGTGCATATCCGATCCGACCGAACCAAACCGATCTAAAAACCAAACTATATTTTAATAGTATGTTTTAAATGAATTTATTTTTCTCATATCCAATGACCAAATCCAAGAAACGGAATTTGAATCCTATCTAAAGCCAAAGTTTCATTTTCTAAATTAAGGATATATTCGACTATAAAGTATAAACAGAAACCATAACCATATCAACCATCAACAAAAGATTAAAATTAACCAAAAAATCCAAAGAAAGAAAACGCTAAACCAAACCGAAATCCGGATCGAAAACCGCTTTAAACTTATAAGACTTACTTCCAAATCATCGATGAGGCAATGGTGGATGTAACCGGACGTGTAATTAAAGAACCGGTAGGTGTTAACGGTTGCTTCTGCTTGCTTCTTCGATTTCTCATTCTCACACCAATATCGAACAGTATTTGAACCAGGCTTAACCGGAGTCACCCAAGAAATGATCACTCCATTACCTTCATGGTTACCTTGCGTTACATGAACCTGTTGGGGAGAATTAGGACCAGGAGGAAGTGCAAAGACATCACTGTCTAATGGCATGTCATCTGGTAAATCACTTGCTCTGACATATTCACTGGTTATTCCTCCATGACATAACTCAACAAGAACACATAGCAAGAAGATTATGAAGGAAACTCGTTTGATTTTGAGGTCAGATCTTGAATTCATCTTCAAGATTTGTTTTTCTGAATCCGAGACGAAGAACGTGCTTTAGATTTTTTTTTTCTCTTTTGGGAAATTTAATAGCTTGTCTAGTAGCCTGACATGGACATTGTTGACTTTTGAGTTTTCCAACAAGGATCGTAAGTGGATATTCCAAATTTTTATTTCATATTTTTAATTCCTTAGAAAATTATAGGACAGAGAGATATTTTTGGGCAACAAAAAGAAAAGGGAAAAAAAACTTTCTACTAAATCTTGGGATCTCATATAATCACTACAAAAAGATTTACCAAAACACTTTGACCATTAGACGAATTCCCTGGTTTTATTTTGAGATGTTTAATTTTGCAAGAAATTAATGTTTTTATGCAGTTTATAAAGTAGACTATGAAAGAAAGAAAATACTTTTTTTTTTTAATTTAGATATCAAGTAATGAAAAAAATACATATACATAAGCGTTATTTAGCTAATCTTCTTGGGTACATTTTGCAAAAAAAAATAGAAACTGCAATAAAGTAGAACATAGATAAAACACTTTGTATATTTCCTTGATATTTTGTAAGAGCCCGAATATTACAAGAAATGAAACATTTGTGTTGTATGTAAGTATGTTCTATAGATAGATAATATTGATATCAAAAAATTATTGATCAGGATTGGAACACACTCAAATCCAATCCATCTACATATCATGTCAATTCCACATGACTTTTTCCATTCCCAAAAATCACACTTCAGTTCAGCCGCCAAACTCTAACATTGTAGCCCTTCTTATCTAGCATCAATCTAGTTTAGATAAACACGAATTTTTTGAGAGAGACGCTACATATCATCATATAGCATGGATATGAGCAACTAATACATGCTCCACTTTTTTTTTTTTTTTTACATGCTCCACTTTCAGTGTGTTCCATATCATATTCTTGCATTCTATCCGATAATCATATAGTTCGAGTTCTACCTTGATCATGTAGGACATCATGAATTCATGATATAAGAAATTATAGACAATAATATTGGAGGAATTAGCACTATGGAACAAAAAAAGAATCAAGAGAAAAAGGATCAATTCCTCCAATTTGTAGTTGTGCTTTTAGGGCTTGAACTTAAAAAGTTTCGAAAACTTTTATAAAAAAAATCATTTGTTTTTAGTGCTTGAACTTATAAGGATTTTCCTTATTTATATCTTGTTAGTTGTCATTACACGAGAACTTGTTTTTCACTTTCCAATTCTTATTTAGATTTGGATTGTACAAGAGAAAAAAAAATCGGTGATAGAGGGTAATGAAATCATTTTAATTTTAGATATTGTTTCTAAAATTATTGAAAGTAATAATCGACAATAAATTTCTATATAAAATAAAATATTTAATTTTATCTTTTTTTGAAAATACTCTAAAATACTACATTGTTAATTTTTTGTTCCAAAAGTACCATCACTATTTTAATTTTTTCAATAATACCTCAAATTTTTGTATAAAAATATAAGTTCAACCAAAATAATTTACAAATAAAATTAAAAAATTATTTGAGTTCCCTATATCTAAATTAAATTTTTTGCCTCTAGTGAACTTACTGCCTCTCTCGTGGATATGTTGCCTCTAGTGGACTACCTGATGAGACAAGAGCAGCTAGGCAGATTCTGAAAGACTACATTGAAGGTAAGCTTCCACATTTTGCAATGCCTCCAGAGATAACCCGAGATGATGAAAACGAGACAGCGGATGATAATATGGGAGCCGAAACACGAGAAGGTTCACAGCCTGAGGAGGAAGGCAAAGAAGCTACTGGCCTTGGTCTTGGTCTTGATCAAGTTCTAGATGATCTGAGCTCGTTTGATCTTGCAAATGGAATTGGGTCTAACAAAAAGAAACAGCACAAGAAGTCACATAGGAAACAATGATTCGGTCGCCAGTGCTGAGAGGTTTCCAGAAACCGATAAACAATCACAATGCATTGAACAACAAATGCTGGAATATATGATACAGTTGTGGATTTTTCTTATGTAGAAATTGTGAAAAGTTCTAACAGCTGTTGGTTAGATGTTATGTTTGTGCAAAATACGAGAGATATCGAGAATTTTTCAGCTTGATGCTAGTAGTCAATGTATTGATGAAGAGTACTTTGAAGCAGGTTCTATAGTTGTATAATATTTCCCAGTGACATATTATAAATCACTCACTCACATGCAGAGCAAACACTAACTTGTTCAAGTTGACAACTTCAGTCTTTAGTTCCCAGACTTTTATTGTATTTTGCAATTTCAGAATCTTAAACTTTTGTAACATGCTGCATCACTCTTGTACTCTCAATCAATGCACATGCAAGGTTTTCTCACGATTGTTGATATTTGCATTTTCTGCTCTATTTCATAGCTTTGGACTTAGGAATCCAATTAATTCCTTAAGCTTTGTCACTTCATTTTAAGTATGTCATCGCCGTCTTTTAATGAACAAACAAACATACAGTATCAGTAAAGAAGTCAACAATTTATTTGCAATTGTCTTCAAGAAGACATGAATTGTTTGTTTGTCTTTGCATTTATGAATTTACAATATTAAACACTTTTTTATGAAACGTAATACGTAAACTCTAAATGTAAACTAAAATGATTTTTTTTTTCATTTAACATTACGCTTTTCACTTTTGTCAAAAAAAATTTATGGTTCTGAATGGTAATTGTGTACCGCTACAATATAGTGTACACAGTTTTGACAGTTATCAATCATAAAAGCGTTATGAAAAGTTTTACACTCAATTTTTTTGCACAGCTTTCTCGTACAACTCTTTCTGATAGTTTTGCACTATTCCGAAAAAGTTTATAACTCTAGCTACCAGCTAAAAAATTTAAACAGTTTTTGGTTACTAATCGGACTCTCTAAAAAGAAGAATCGAAAATTGCTTATATTACAAAAATGTGACTTTCTTTTCCATGTGAACGTAAATGCAAATAAATATGCTTTTGAAATAACCGAGGTCTAAGTTACACATATACTTTTGACATTGAAAAAAAAAAAAGTTGAAATATGCAATAATGCTCTCATGCTGCATTAACAAAATTTTCTAACAAAATCTTTGTTCCCATGCTGCATTAACAAATTTTCTAACAAAAGTTTGATAAACACGAAGAACCGCAAAAACTTTGGTGAATCACTTAAAATTTTCAAAAATCTATTATATGTCATTAGCAATAATTTTAATGACCCCAACTTATAATAAATTTTGACCCCAATACAAAATTAATATTGCAACATGAAATAAAAAATAGTCCAAATACTTGAAAGTTAGATTCTCACTAAAAATTTAGACCCATAATTTACCTTAAATAAAAGAAATATTCACCTAATATTATTTCAGTTTTTACAAAACACCAAATAAAAAATATCAAAATTTTTAGTGTACTATTTTATATTTTTTAAAAAATATTTGACCCCATAACATAAATTTCTAGCTCCACGGATCTAATAATGCAAACTTGGCTCTATTTGAAGAGCTCAACTCTTCTAACTCAGATTTTGCTTAGGTTCTTCATTTTTAAAAAACTTTTTTTTTGGCAAGGGATAACTTTATTGGTTAAGCTCAATTTGTAATTAATAACAAACCGTCTGAAATTCAAAATCATATATCCATAAAACATGCAGATTGTACGCAATGATGATTGAGTTTCATGTATTTTTCATACATTAGTCGTTTTTTCATTTATTTATATATAGTTAGTTTGGCGGTTTGTACGAAGTTAAACTGAATGGACTAACGTAGATTCTGTTGTAGATGACATTTAATGCATTAGAATTTAGAGTACTGTTTCAAGAGCATCCCGAGAAAACCCATCCTCTCCATCCTGATCACAATTATCTTCGTTTAAATGTTTATCAAATAGTTTTGTTTGCACGTAAAAAAACTAACACCGAGGTAAGCTACCTTCAACAGTGTTTCCTTTATTGCAGAGAGCATTTCCTCTTCTCTCTTTAGCATTTCCAACAAATCAATAGCCTGTAGCGAAGTTCAATCATAAGAGTGGGCCTCCTCAACTTGTGACAAATCATAGGATTCTAATGAAATGATTTTTAGACTAACCGAGCCAGGCCTGCAGAAAAAAGCCATAAGATTAGGTTTAGAAGAAAATCGAATTAGAGAAAGCAGCCAAACAAAAAGTAGGACAAACCTCTCTCTCTTCTTCGCTGTCATCATCTGGAATATCTTCTTCTCCAGATTCAACCGGAGTCGACAAAGCTGATGCTTTAGTGGAACGTCCACGTCGCTCCTTTCTCTCTTTAATTTCAAGAAGCTTTGCCTCTGCAGCCTTTTGACGTTTGAACCGAGCTATTACCGAAATCATGAACACACAACACAGATTTCAAAATCCGAAAACCTTAAACTTCATTCTCGTCAGAATATAAACAAAAGAAACAGGGCTGAATCTACCTTCAGAGCCCTTCGATCAGCAGGTGCACCAGAACCTCCTTGTGAAGAAGCCTCCAACTCCTCATCCGGAACAAGTTCCATTGCCTCACAGAACGAAAAGAACTCCTAAACACAATAACAAGACTATATACATCAGTCTGAAAAAAATCCAACCAAATGCTCACTAGCACTAGCATCAAAGCTCAGTAGAAAAATTACCTTCAACTTTGACAATCGGAATCCGGTCGTCCTGTATGATTTTCTCTGTCAACTCCGCAAGGTAATAAGGTACCTATAATCACAAGAAAATATATCCCTCGTCACTTTAATGAAATTTCAACCCAAAACCCACACAATCTTCTGATCTCCACACAAAAAGTTATCATCATCTGTGTACATCTCCAAATTCATATTGTTTGAATCTGCATCAGAATTTGATCATTTGACATCTTCTTTTTTCTGGGTATTCGTTTTTTTTGGATCAAATCTGATCCCTTTTTTTTTTTCTCTGTTATTGTCAATTTTTTCCAACTTCTTTATTTTTAAAGTCACAAAAAGTGTTGTTTCCAGGAGGAAACTAGGGTATAGGTTGAATCCTGGTTTACATGTTAGTGATGTTGTTCATTGTATTTTGGAAGTTAAATCATTCACAAGCAAAATGTGTGTTGTATTATCTCTTTTTTCTTTCTCGTTTGATTCCATAAATGGTGCTGTGATTGAACGTGGGTTACACAATAATAGAGGACAACAAAAGATGGTCTCAGATACAGGTCACACGTTAATTATTTTTTTACTAGATAGTATATACGTTGCATCTATAGTCGGCGTATTTAAAAATAATATTCCAAAGAAATATACCAATTTGAAAGTGAATCTAGTACTAGTTAATCTTATGCTGTAAATCTGTAACAGTCTTAAGGCTTAAGAGTAGAAAAGATGATTACATTACAGACATCAAAAGTGAAAGAGGAGGTTTTGGAAATAAGAAACAAGGGAGAAAGTGTTAAATATGTGTCTCTCTGTCTCGGTCTCAGCCACAAGGTGTGAGTTTCTTGTTACCTGCACCACGAGGATTATCGTCCTTCCAATCATCAAAAGCTCTAGCTTTCATTACAGCTTCTTCGTCTTCATCATCCTCTTCCTCTTCTTCTTCCTTTCTTCTTAGAGGTTTATCATTGTACCATGAGGTCGTTGCTTCTTCAATGGCTTTTTTCGTCTGCTCTTGCCAATCATTCATTATGTTCATCTCTGTTAACCCAGCATCCTCTATGCACATTGTTGGCATCCTACAAAATCCAAGTTTAATCACCATTCTAAAAAATCTCAAAAGAATTGTGATGAGAATGATTTTTTGTTTACCTGTGACTTGGTTGGAAAACCTGAGCTATCATCCTCTCTCTCTCGGTAGAGAGCGGTCCACCCACGATGCTTGCTGGACCGAATATAAGAGGTTGGTTCTTGTGGTCGTGACCTTGTGATACAGAAGCTCTTCCTTCTAACACATCTTGTGCAAATGTGGCACAAGTGATTGGTTGTGCCGGTTTAGAGTACTGTATCCTTGCAGCAGCGTCTCTGTGCCAGGTTTCAGCTTTCTTTGTACGATCATCAAGAGCATCCCGAGAGAACCCATCCTCTCCATCCTGATCAAAATATCATCACAATTATCTTCGTTTCTATGTTTATCAAATAGTTTTGTTTGCATGTAAGTAAACTAAGACCACGGTAAGCTACCTTCAACTGTCTTTCCTTTATTGCAGAGAGCATTTCCTCTTCTCTCTTTAGCATTTCCAACAGATCAATAGCCTGTAGCGAAGTTCAATCATAAGATAAAGCCTCCTCAACTTGTGAAAAATCATAGGATTCTAATGAAATGATTTTTAGACTAACCTTACAAATAGCCAAGTTAATTGAGGAGAGCCAGGCCTGTAGAGGAAAGCCATAAGACAAGGCTTAGAAGAAAATCGAATTAGAGAAAACAGCAAAACAAAAAGTGGGACAAACCTCTCTCTCTTCTTCGCTGTCATCATCTGGAATATCATCTTCTCCAGATTCAACTGGAGTCGACAAGGCTGCTGCTTTAGTGGAACGTCCACGTCGCTCCTTCCTTTCTTTAATTTCAAGAAGCTTTGCCTCTGCAGCCTTTTGACGTTTGAAGCGAGCTATCTACAAAGTACAGTAATCATGAACACTCAACACAGATTTGAAAATCCGAAAACCTTAAATTCATTCTTGTCAGGATATAAACTAAAGAAACAAGGCTAAACCTTCAAAGCCCTTCGATCTGCAGGTGCACCAGAACTTCGTGAAGAAGCCTCCAACTCCTCATCTGGAACAAGTTCCATTGCCTCACAGAACGAAAAGAACTCCTAGACACAATAAAAGACTATACATCAATCTAAAGAAATCCAACCAAATGCATATTCCTATTAGCACTAGCATCAAATGGATGCAACAACCTGCAAACACTCAGCAGAAAACTCACCTTCAACTTTGCATATGAGGCCTTGACAATCTGAATACGGTCCTCCTGTATGATTTTCTCCGTCAACTCCGCAAGATAATAAGGCACCTATAGTCACAAGAAGATATATATCCCTCATCACTTTAAAGAAGTGTTAATGCAAACACATACAAACTTATGATCTTCCAAATAGAGTCTAGCTTGAAGAGGGTAGTTATATCAAGCTAAAACTAAAAAGCAATTTACCATCGGCCAAAGTTATTCACTTTGAGATAAATCACGTCTTTGCTAATCTAATAACAAAACTAGTATACAAACAAGAGAAACTTTCTCAGATTGCAGAGAAAGTTACCAAAAGGTACTTGAGATTGTTCGTGCTGATATCTTCTTTAGTCTCGTTAGAAGAGAACAAGCCCAATTTTCCGATCATGTCTTCGCATTTCTGAAACATCTCACATCCTTTCTTCACAACATCCTAACAAACAAACAAGAAGCATACCCGGAAATGTCCAAATTCAGTAAAATTACCCTAATCGAATTCGAAATACAAGAAAAGTTAGAAGCTTCCACCTGATCGGTACCAGACTCTGAAGCCGCGAGATGAATTTTCCTTGCTTGCTCGAACAACGCTGATAAAGGCAATTCCTCCATAGACAGACCACCCATCACAAACTAGAAAGCAATTTCTCGATGAAAAAAGAATTCACAAGACGGGAGTATCACAGAAATGTCTACGGATTCGAGTTTCTTCAAGAAGTGGATCGGTGAAGTCTTTGAAACTTTTTAGGGTTCCAAATCGAAATCTGGCGAATTTACCGAGGAAGGAACTCTCAGATTTCCAGAACACACTTAAAAAGCTAGTGAACAAAGTGGATGATCTTGTGGTTAAAACCTCACTTGAAATCTTGTGGTTAAGGAGATGATCAAGTTCTCATTATCTTAGAGATTTTGAAAATTTTAAGAGATCTCTAGTGAACAACTATGTTTTTTTTTGCAGGCGCATCCAAATATCAAGAGAAGCCTGCGCTCATGCACTAACTAGAGATCTTTAGTACCACAATAGAGACAGAGTTAGGCCCAAAATCCAAGCAATTTCATCTAAAGTTAAGTTGGTGCATTAGCCGCTTAGAGCTCAAGATTCATGTCTACTTGAAATCCCAGTAATCAGTAAACCAAAGAAAGTAAGTTTCATCTAAAGCTAGTTTGGTGCACTGACACACTTAAAAAGACTAAACACTAACGAAGAAGCCACAGAACTAAACACACAATGGCAGCTTTAAATGGTGAAACAGATCAAACATCAAACAATGGCAGCTTTAGATGGTGAAACAGATCAACTCAATACAAAATCAAACATCAAAAACGATAATAGCCTATAAGCATCAGAAACACGAAATCAAACAAAGCCACAACACTCGTCTCCATTGGTACACATAAACTCAATACAAAATCATGAATTAGAGATATATCATACCTCTCAAACAGTGGTTGCAGCGATTTCAATCCGTAACACCTGAAACCCACTTCGAGATTTCAATGACTAAAGGAGAAATCAAATCCAATAATCAAACCCATGAGTCTTACCTCTCAAACAATGGTCGCAGCTAATTCAATCGTAACACCTAAACCCACGCACGAGAGAGAAGAAGACAGCCGGCGGAGAGATCAAAGAGGAGTGGAGTGGAGTGAGAAGATCAAAGAGGAGTGGATTCCGGCGAGAGATCCGGCGGAGAGATCCAGCTGCGAAGAGATCCAGCTTCGGTGCGAAGGATCTCGTTTCTCTTCTCACGTTGTCGAAGGATGGCTCTCTGAGTCTCTGTCGTGGAATGAACGATGAGAAGTAGGTTTAGGTTTTTTGGTGTAATTTTCCAAATTAGATAGGGGTATTTAGGTCATTTTGTATTTTAGACTGAATCAGCTCCAGTCAACTGCTCCGATCAGACTCAGTCGGAAAATGATCATTTTTTGGATGAGTTTGATAAAAATCATCCAACTGGTTCATCTCACTGCTCTGTAAAATTGTTATAAACGAACATCATAACTCATCTCCATTCAGATGATCCATCTGAATGGAGAAACGAATAGCACCTAAGCCGTTAGATCTGTAGACAAGACCTCAAACCGACTCTGTAAAAAATCATCAAGTCAAAGATCGAAAAAGCAGCTTCTTCAACTCTTTCGATGTTCATTCAAACACCGACTACGTGCTAATTAATCTACATACAGTAAAACCTCTATAAATTAATAATGCTGGGACCATGATATTTTATTAATTTATAGTGATATTAATTTATCTATAAATTAATACTTATTAATTTATAGCGTAAATTAATATTTATTAATTTATAAAAAGTTTTGTTTCAATGTGAAAAGTTTTTTAAAAAAATACGAGCTAAATCAATGTGATCTAAATAAAATTAATGTTTTGGATGTTATAAATTTTATAGTTTTAGCCTTAAAAACTTAATATTTCGAAGAAAAAATAATTTATTTTGACAATGAATAACAACGATTATAGAATTCGCACATACAAACGATATACATAAATTAAAATTCACAAATAGTGACATCCATTGTTGTATTTTAAAAATCTATACGATTATTAAAACAAAAATTATGCATATTCAAAATTTGAAAAATTACAAAAACTTTTAGCTATTTTTATGAAAACACTAAAACTATTATATATATATATATACATATATGTGCATATTTACATGATTAATAATTTATGATATTATTGGGACTATATTTTTACATAGAGATTTCAAAAAACTTATTATCTTATTATCTTATCGAATTTGATTAATTTTTACACTGGCCCGACTCGGGACCGGCCAAATTTATTAATTTATCGTGTTTATTAATTTATCGAGTATTAATTTATAGAGGTTCTACTGTATACATTTTTACAGGGTTTTTTTGCATAAACTCTTTTGGATCCGGGTTTTACCCGGATTTTAGTCTATTCGGATCTTGGATAAGCAATTTTAGGCATATTGTAATAAAAAACTTCCTTATTAGTTTGACCCAGTTTATGAGCAATCAGATACCTCCGAAATTTCCTGTTACAACAATAAATCAAAATCGGCATTAATTAGTGAGACAAAATTAACAACCAGATTTAGGAAATAAAAACCAACTCATTAGCGTGTTTTATTAGCCTAATTAATATGACAATATTAATTTACTTTTTCAAATTAAACCACATTAAATTCAAAAATATTTCCACGATCCTATCAGTTCAATAATATTCCCAAAATTATCTCTAAACTATATTTAAGGAAAACTAATACTGTATTTGTAACCAAACCGTTTTACGGAATCACAATACAATATCTCTTAAGTTTCTTCTTTTTCAACACAATTAATTCAAAAAATAACTCCCTCCAATCAATCCACTGATATTCCAAAAATATATCTCCGAATTCTATCATAAATATCTAAACTACCGCAAACAAAAATACTACTCCCTCTGTTTTTAAAAAGTTGTCGTTTTAACTGTATTTAGACAAATTAAGAAAAGGTATACAATGACTATATTAACCTCATAAAAATGACAAGTAATTATTTACAAATAATTTGTGTTTAATTAAATGAGGGTAATTTGGGTAGTTATTGGCATAAGTTACATTATTACCTTAAAACGACAACTAATTTAAAACAAAAAAAATGCTCTAAAACGACAACTATTCGAAAACGGAGGGAGTAGATCTCTATAATACCTAATAACCCACGAAATCTATTTATATCCTCCATCGAAAATATCTCTTCATTCCAATATCTACCTACAAATCTTCCCCATTAATTTTTAACAAATCAATTTCATAATTTAAATCGCATAAAACTGGTATATTCCTAACAAAAATAACAAATTGAAAGATATTATTCCAAAAATATTTCTTCACGTAAAATCTATCATTTAATGACTACGAATCACTTGACCTAATTATTTGTCCCTATATATACTCTACTACTATACACCTATTCCTATCAAAAAACTCAAAAGCTCATAAATCCGGACGTGTATACCTTTTTATTCTTTGCAACTAGATTTTAACCCGCGGTACACCGCGGGACTATATTTTAAAAAATAATTAAAATGTAATTTGTTGTTTATTAATAAAAAAAATAACCAATGTTTTGTATATTTTAAATGTACTATCCATATATCTATATAAATATAAGTAGTTTTGAGTACATTAATTTTGTTTTAGGTTTACGGTCATAAAATATAGGAACGGTAACACATAGTTCAGTAAATATCGTTTAAGTTATGAAAATAAGGTTTTTTTTTGTTTTTGTTTTATTTTTTTATTTAGAAATAATAGTTTGTTAATTATATTGTCAAGTTTTGTAATTTAAGTTAAATATTATTTGGTTTTATCATTTTGTTTGTTTCTAAAATAAATCATGTATCATTTAGTATATATAGTTGTGTTGTGCAATGAAAATATTAGTGGGGACAATTATGATTTTCATACTAATTATAGTTTTAAGTTAATTTTTTTATAAACTTTGATTGTTAAACTGAACCAATTCTAATATAATTTTTCCGAATTGAAAAAACAGTATTTTAGTCTTTTTAAAAAATAAGTAACTTATATACAGATTTCGTAATTGGGTTTGTGTAAAAAAAATGAAGTGAATCGATAATTAAATAGAGATTGTTGTCGGAACTTATCATTTTTTTTTTTTTTTTAAACTTATCATCTTCTTTCCTCAGAGCAAATTTTACTCATCTTCTTGGATAACCTAGTTTTCTCTAATCACAAAATCGTTGTCGATGTACTGCTGAAGGTTCAATCGATTTCTTCATCTGCTCCAAAGAATAAATTAACGTTAAACCGATTGTTTGCTACGAAATCCACCGTTTTAATATCTCTCACCTGAGAAGGCACAGTAAAAATTCGTTTCCTTTTCTCTTTTATTCGACGAATCCATCTTGCGAATATAAATTATTTCTCTATTATTTATATTTATATACATTATAAAATAAAGTAATTATTTATAACAGTGATTATATTTTAGAACAAAAATTTAAATATATAGTATTTTAAAGAATTACCCATCTTTTCCTACACTTTAGTAAATTTCCCTTCAAAGACCTAAACTTTTATTTTATTAATTTTCTCCCCCCGGCGGCTACGCTTCGCTTCACACGAGCCTTTGGCATTTTCGCGTTTTGAATTCAACCACCACAAGAAGAACACAAAAGCGCTCAATCTTCTTCTCACAAAATCTGCGATTCCCATCTCCAGAATCTGAATAATCGGAAAAATCAAGGTTTCAGCCGAGAAGAAAATGGGGAAGAACGAGAAAACATCTCTAGGTCGAGCTTTAGTGAAGCACCATAACCATATGATCCAAGAAACCAAGGAAAAAGGCAAATCCTACAAAGATCAACACAAGAAGGTTCTCGAATCTGTAACCGAAGTCAGCGACATCGATGCCATCATCGAACAAGCCGAGGAAGCTGAACGGCTTTTCGCGATTCATCACGATTCCGCAACGCCTGTTCCTATCAATATGTCAGTTTCTCGATTCATCAAAATTTGATGAATTCTTCACTGATTCTTGTGTATTTGCTTGTGATTGCTTCTCTGTATTGAATCATTTTTGGTTTGTGATTTTGTATGTAAATAGGGACACAGGTTCGAGTTCAAGTGGTATAACAGCTAAAGAATGGAAAGAGCAAAGGATGAGAGAAGAGGCTTTACATGCTAGTAGTCTTCAAGTTCCTCGAAGGCGAGTGGTTTTAAATACATTGATTTTGCTTCTTTGTTCATGTGTGATATAAGAAAGTCTTGTTTCGTTTAATATTCTTTCGCTTTACTTGTATTCAGACCTCATTGGACACCTAAAATGAATGTGGAACAACTTGATGCTAATGAAAGACAAGCTTTTCTTACTTGGCGACGGAAACTTGCGAGGTTTGGTTATGTTTTACTTCATTCTTCTGTTAGTAGAAGGATTGTTGCTGTTGGTAGAGTGGGAGATTGATTACTCATATTCAAGTGTTCGAACATTTATTTGGCTTCTACAAAGTCCGATCGTTTTCTCAATGGTCTAGTACAATGCTTTTCTATGGTTAAATGGTGGAACAAGTTGAGGAGAGTTTATACTTGATATAATGCGTATAAGCTAGTGACTATGTTTACTCCAGTGCTTTCCAAATATTGTCACATACTGCAAGCTTTTGGCTATCACTTATGACATTTTAATTGGTTTACTCTCAGTTTTTGTTTATTATTATGATATAATTGGTTCTGAGGTTACAAGTTGATGCATTTATCTCAAACTAGCACTTGATAAAGTTAAAGTACTTTGGCAATGCATATGTAAGTTCGTTGTGTGTTCTAGATATTTGTTTTGTACCAAAGAAAAAAACTGGGATAGAGTTTAGAATACGTTTTGGTTTGACCACGTTTGTTGATAAAAATGCATCCATTTTCACATCTTGAAGCAGATTATAGCTCACTAAAGATACTATGTTACTATTTTAGATGTATGGTTTGATTTCATTATGTGCAATTTTCGTTGGGACTTAGTGTACTTATGCATCCCTACTTGTTCTGCTGTATTCATTCAGCCTCGAGGAAAATGAAAAGCTTGTGTTGACACCATTCGAGAAGAACCTTGACATCTGGAGACAACTTTGGCGAGTGCTTGAACGAAGTGATTTGGTATGTCATTTTTTCTATGATATTTTTTTCGTCTCATAGAGCTCATTTTGCATAGGTTAAGTTATTTGCAATATCATTGGCTATTTTTACTTCTCTTTCAGATTGTTATGGTTGTTGATGCTAGAGATCCTCTGTTTTACCGTTGTCCTGATCTTGAGGTAACTCTATCTCTGCCAACTTGCTGATATCTCTTAATTGAACTTTCCTGATCCATATCAACGATTAACGTGAAAATTTGTTCTGAAACAGGCATATGCACAAGAAATTGATGAGCATAAAAAAACAATGCTTCTGGTCAACAAGGCGGATTTGTTACCTTCTTATGTCAGGTAAACTTGTTGCCTTGTTTCTTTTCCTCCAACCTGTTTGTTTTATTGCTAACCAGTTCGGTTCTACATGATGTAAATTCAGGGAGAAATGGGCGGAATACTTCTCCCGCAACAATATTCTGTTTGTCTTCTGGTCAGCCAAAGCTGCTACGGCTACCCTAGAAGGTAAACCCCTGAAAGAACAGTGGAGAGCACCTGATACCTCTCACAAGACAGATAACCCAGCTGTTAAAGTATATGGAAGGGACGAGCTTTTGGCTCGATTAAAACTTGAGGCTCTAGAGATAGTAAAAATGAGGAAATCTAGAGGAGTTTCCGCAACTTCTGCTGAATCACACCGCGAACAAGTTGTGGTTGGCTTTGTTGGGTACCCGAATGTGGGAAAGAGTTCGACAATCAACGCATTGGTAGGTCAGAAGCGAACAGGTGTCACATCTACCCCCGGGAAAACGAAGCATTTCCAGACATTGATAATCTCTGAGGATTTAATGCTCTGCGATTGCCCTGGTTTAGTCTTCCCTTCATTCTCAAGCTCAAGATATGAAATGATTGCTTCTGGAGTTCTTCCAATAGACCGGATGACCGAGCACCGCGAAGCTATTAAGGTTGTGGCTGAACGTGTTCCTCGGCATGCCATTGAGGATGTGTACAACATCTCTCTACCTAAACCCAAAAGCTATGAGCCTCAGTCACGCCCACCACTTGCATCAGAGCTTCTAAGAACTTACGGCCTTTCTCGTGGCTATGTTGCCTCTAGTGGACTACCTGATGAGACAAGAGCAGCTAGGCAGATTCTGAAAGACTACATTGAAGGTAAGCTTCCACATTTTGCAATGCCTCCAGAGATAACCCGAGATGATGAAAACGAGACAGCGGATGATAATATGGGAGCCGAAACACGAGAAGGTTCACAGCCTGAGGAGGAAGGCAAAGAAGCTACTGGCCTTGGTCTTGGTCTTGATCAAGTTCTAGATGATCTGAGCTCGTTTGATCTTGCAAATGGAATTGGGTCTAACAAAAAGAAACAGCACAAGAAGTCACATAGAAAACCATGATTCGGTCGCCAGTGCTGAGAGGTTTCCAGAAACCGATAAACAATCACAATGCATTGAACAACAAATGCTCGAATATATGATACAGTTGTGGATTTTTCTTATGTAGAAATTGTTGAAAGTTCTAACAGCTGTTGGTTAGATGTTATGTTTGTGAAAATACGAGAGATATCGAGAATTTTTCAGCTTGATGCTAGTAGTCAATGTATTGATGAAGAGTACTTTGAAGCAGGTTCTATAGTTGTATAATATTTCCCAGTGACATATTATAAATCACTCACTCACATGCAGAGCAAACACTAACTTGTTCAAGTTGACAACTTCAACTTCACTCTTTAGTTCCCAGACTTTTATTGTATTTTGCAATTTAAGAATCTTAAACTTTTGTAATATGCAGCATCACTCTTGTACTCTCAGTCAATGCACATGCAAGGTTTTCTCACGATTGTTGATATTTGCATTTTCTGCTCTATTTCGTAGGTTTGGACTTTGGAGGAATTCAATTAATTCCTTAAGCTTTGTCACTTCATTTTAAGTATGTCATCGCCGTCTTTTAATGAGCAAACAAACATATCAGTAAAGAAGTCAACAATTTATTTGCAATTGTCTTCAAGAAGACATGAATTGTTTGTTTGTCTTTTTTTTTTTTTTTTGAATGTATATTTGTTTGTTTGTTTGTCTTTGCATTTATGAATTTACAATATTAAACATTTTTTAATGAAACATCAATACAATAAAAATACTAAAAGTCTCTCCAGATCCGACACCTCAGCTTTTTCGTGCATTCTGGAGCTGACACATCAGTTAAATGACTTCACCAATCAAAATATAACAAATAATACACCTCAGCTCAAAATTTGCCAAGCTGGAGACATTGTTTTTTCTCTCCGGATGGTACACTCGATTTCATCTTCATCTTCGTAAACCCAATTCTTCGCAAAGTAACAAAATTGTTCCTCTCTTTTGCATCTTCTTCCATATCTATGACGAGATGCTTGTGGGAATCATCACCGTGTTGATGATTTCTCTTTGTCTCCGGTGAGTTTTGGTGGGTTTGGTGTGAAAAAGACTTTCTCTTGTGTGGAGCTTAAGAATTAAAAGCATCCTAGAAGTGAATTCAATGGAAAACATATCGCTTTCGGTGAAGCTCAAGACGAGAGCTTCTGATCATCAACCATCACAGATCAGGTAAATTTGTTTTCTTGTGTTCTTATTTTATAATCCATTACATGCGAGATCTAATTAGAAAGATCTTGAGAGCTAATTGTTGAAAGAAACGTTTTTTTAGGGGTTTACTTTAATTTTTGTAGTGAATTATGGCTTGATGAGAAGATTTTGGTTTAGGGTTCATATGTTTTCAATTTCATCTGTTGATTTTTTTGCATCTGTGAAAATATGATTTTGACATGTGTAAATTTGCAGACAACGCCGAGGATTGGAACAGCTCAGAAGTGGTGGGAGAAAGGTCTGAAAGAAAACATGAGAGAGATCTCTTCAGCTCAAGAACTCGTTGACTCTCTGACCAACGCGGGTGATAAGCTTGTTGTTGATGATTTCTTCTCACCTGGCTGTGGCGGCTGCAAGGCTCTCCATCCTAAGGTATCAATCCACTTCTTGGACTGTAGCTTGGGACTTTTGATTTTGGAAACGAACAAAATTTCTAACCATACTGGTTTATGATTGTTGCAGATATGTCAGTTGGCAAAGATGATCCATGGTGTGCAGTTTCGTCAGGTGAATTACGAGGAACATAAGTCGATGTGTTATAGCCTGGTGTTCATGTTCTCCCGTTTTCCCAATTCTACCGAGGCGCTATGGGTCGTGATTGCAGCTTTAGCTATACCAATGCCACGGTTCGTTCTCATTCCCATAAAACATGAGACAACGATGTTTGGTTTGGTTTTGATCTTGATTTGTTTTTTTCAGATCAAGAAATTCAGAGATGCATTGGCAAAGCAGATGAGTGTAGGGTTTGAGATGATTTTATTTTAAAGTTTTCTGAATCTTATGCTTGCCTAATTTGTTTTCTCTTATTAAAAAGATCATATTTTGTATTCATTCACTATGGTACGTGGTGCCTTAGAGATTGAACAATTTGATATTAAAATAAAACAACTCAATTTCCTTCATCTCACTGAATCAGCGAAAACAACAAAGTTAAAGAACCAATTATCCTAGATCTTTTTCTAGATGGCATTAAATGCTCTCAAGGCCAAGATCAACCAGAATGTAATCGACGTTAGCCCTGTGGCAATTGGAGAACAGATCACTAACCAGCAGCGTGATATCTAATAAGAAGATAATGTCCCAAGTCAACACACTAATCCAAATATGAAGCATACAAAATTTACATGTTTTTCTACGAAAGATGTTGAGGATGATTATAGTAAATAAATGTAGTTACATAATTCATTTTGATCAAAAGTTCTAAATTAGTATCAATGTTCCAAATATTACAAAAATTTAAGAAACTTTTAACTATCATTTGTAAATTTGATGAAATAGTGGTAAAGTAACATTGAGATAACGGATTGAGCTTATGTAGATTTGAAGCTATTGTAGTTCCTCGGGACAAAGTCGCTGAATTTTGTGTCAAGCATCATCTTCCCCGAATTGGATATTTGATGGGTTTCGTTAGAATTTACAAGGTTTCATTTTTCCAACATGTTTTGATCTTTAAGCTTTTATACTATCTCCGACTCTGGTCGTATCTTAGGGTGTTTACCTCTTAGGTTTGAATTTGTCCAAGTAGTAGACCAAGTGTTTGTGGAAATGCCGCAGAGGATTTATGTGTTTATTACAACTCTTAAAGTTTAGTTTTTGTTAGACTCGACTACACAGTGAGTGAAAGGACTAATGAGAATGACATAACTCATTTGAAATGGTTCAGTGTTAAATATTACATCAAATTTAAATATACACAAACTAAAACATACTCTGCATTATTGATTAAGTATTGACTTTTTAAAATTAAAGCATTGGTTTTTTTTTTTCTAAATTAGAGTTAAACACAATTTAGGAAATTACCCCGCAGCGGAGCGCAGGTTTTAAACCTAGTAAACTCTAAATGTAAACTAAAATGATTTTTTTTTCCTTTGACATTACGCTTTTCACTTTTCTAAAGAGAAGAACTGAAAATTGCTTATATAGTTATATTACAAAAATGTGACTTTTTTTTTCCATGTGAACGTAAATGCAAATAAATATGCTTTTGAAACAACCGAGGTCTAAGTTTCACATATACTATTGATATTAAAAAAGAAAAAAGAAAAAAAAAGTTGAAATATGCAATAATGCTCTCATGCTGCATTAACAAATTTTTCTAACAAAATCTTTGTTCCCATGCCGCATTAACAAATTTTCTAACAAAAGTTTTCATAAACACGAAGAATCGCAAAATCTTTGGTGATCTAATGCAACTTGGCTCATATTTGAGTAGCTCAACTCTTCTAACTCAAACTTTCTTTAGGTTCTTCATTTTTTTAAAACTTTTTTTTTGGCAAGGGAAAATTTTATTGGTTAAGCTCAATTTGTAATTAATAAAAAACCGTCTGAAATTCAAATTCATATATATATGCAGATTCTACACAATGATGATTGAGCTTCATGTATTTTTCATATATTAGTCGTTTTTTATTTAATTATATATAGTTAGTTTGGCGGTTTGTACGAAGTTAATCTGAATGGACTAACGTAGATTCTGTTGTAGAGGACATTTAATGCATTAGAATTTAGAAGTCCTCATGGGTCATGGCATTGCGATTTTTCTTCACCATTCATTGTTTATTTATTTATTATATTCCAATTTTATTTATTACATGCAGATTGTGAGCATTACATTTTGATGATTGAGAGTTTCACTATATTCATCAATGAACTTATAAATGACTTAATTTTCACTTTCTAGTTGGAGGACATGTGAAAAAAAAACAAAAAAAAGACATGTGTGACCGAACTTTTCTTAACTCTGTGATTTTATCTAGTCTCAATTCGGATGATCAGAACCAATGTTAAACTTATTACTAACCTTAAATCCGTAGGTACATTACTAGATAAGATACATTTCTACTCCTGTTACTACATAATAAATTAAAACATTTATACAAATACGATAGAAATATTTGAAAGGGTACAAACATTTATATATATGAATACGATAAAAATTCAATAAACTAAAACGTGGTAAGTTCATGATCGTAAATCTTTTCTTCATAGATATGTTAACAATAAATCATTTAATCATTTGATTTGTTATGTTTCTCGTACGAAGCAAACAATAGAAAAAATTACCTTATCTAAGAAAATGTTTCAATTGCTGACAATTTTTTTTTAATATGTCATATTATAAATCAATCTAAATTTTCTAGAAAACTTTACAATTTGCAACATATTTACTACACAAATCTACCATTAGTTATATTCAATATCTAAGCTAACTACACATTACTAAATCGGTTCGGTTTTTTTTTTTGTTCTCCCAAACGGCATTTATATTAAATTATCGGAAAGAAACTTTCCGCTAAAAAAAGCTAGTCAGGAGCCGACTTGCTTACATGAAAAAAACACTATTACGAATTCGAACATTTTTGGCTAAACAATATGTCCGAATATTAAAACTCATGAGTATTGTTTGTATTACATAAATGAATGAAACAATATCTTAGTACAAGACTAAATATATAGCTTCAATTTCGTTAAACAAATTGGAATAAATAAATCTTTTATTTCCTCAAATAATTTGTGTTGTTTATTTAGTAAGTAATCCTCAAAACATAAATGATTAATAAATTCGAGAGATTAATTTAATTACCTGCCTTCAAGAGAGACACAGAGAGAGATAAATAAAACAAAGGGCAAGTTTTTGTTTTTTGTTTGTTTGGTGTTGAGTTCGTCTCTCTGTCCTTTTTCCTCATTTTTTGATACTTCTCAACAAAAAAAAAAAACCTAAAAAAAAAAAAAAACTGGGAAGAAGAAGAAGAAGAAGAACAAACTCATTTTCAAATTCTCCGATTAACTTTTTTTCCGGGAGGATCTCACCGGAGAAAACCTAAGCTAGGGTTTCTCTATCGTGAAGATTTTCGAAACGACAACTTTGAATTTGCTAATTAAGAAGATGTATTCTTAATTAAAAGCTTTGAAATTGACGATTTAGGGTTGTGAAAAAATGGATTTGGATTCATCTATGGTACCAGAGAATGATGAAGATCCTGTTGCTACGCCTGAGAATCACCAATCTCCTATGGAGAAAGAAGCGTCAGAGCAATCAACGGAAGAAACTGGATCCGAATCCGAATCGGCGTCTTTGACTCCTCCTTCTCCTCCGTCGCAGCAGCAGCAACCGCAGGTAACGACGGTGGTTGGTCCGAGATGTGCGCCAACGTATTCGGTTGTGAATGCTATTATAGAGAAGAAAGAAGATGGTCCTGGACCTAGATGTGGACATACGTTGACGGCGGTTCCGGCGGTTGGTGAGGAAGGGACGTCTGGTTATATTGGACCGAGACTGATCTTGTTTGGTGGTGCTACTGCTCTTGAGGGTAATTCTGGAGGAACAGGAACACCTACTTCAGCTGGAAGTGCCGGCATTCGTATGTTTTCGATTTCTCCGTTGCTTTAGTTTCGTTTAAAGTTATAAGCTTGTGAGGGTGACAACTATTTTCTCAACATTTCTAGTGATCTGAGATAGGAAAAAATCAATCCTTGATGTTATAGAATGATTTTGCATCAGTTCTTTGTGTATCCTATGCTTCAAGACTAGTTTTTTCTTCGTGGTTTTAGACTTTTCATACTGTATTTGATGATTAGAATAATGTTTCATATGCAGGACTAGCTGGTGCGACCGCTGATGTCCATTGTTATGATGTTCTTACAAATAAGTGGTCGAGGTGAGTATAAGATATGAATTGTGTTGTCTGTATCTTTAACAATTTAGTAGTATCCTTATAAGAAAAATGAATGATATCTAGTAATGATATCTAGTAATTTGTTATTACTAGATATGAATTGAGCTCTATGTATCTTTAACAATTAAATAGTATCCTTATAAGAAAAATTTACGCGATCTAGTAATTTGTTATTAAGTGTGGAGTTTTAATATGATGAAATAATGTTACAGGCTTACACCTTATGGAGAACCACCTAGTCCAAGAGCTGCTCATGTTGCTACTGCTGTTGGGACTATGGTAGTTATTCAGGTAGGGGAGAAATTGTTTTGTTTTTTCTTGTAATGGATTGTAGTTTAGCAATTCAAGGTTATCATTTAGGGTTAGAAATGAACCTGCTACCAAATTGTCTTTGTGGCACAGGGTGGAATAGGTCCTGCTGGTTTATCAGCTGAGGATCTTCACGTTCTTGATCTCACGCAGCAACGACCACGATGGCACAGGTTTGAATATTAATCTGCTCTTTGCTGCTAGCTCGGTCCTGAAGTTCATTATGCTAGCTTGTCGCTTGATTTGGAATATCCTCTTTATCTAGGGTTGTTGTTCAGGGTCCTGGACCAGGACCGCGTTATGGACATGTCATGGCACTGGTAGGACAGAGGTATCTCATGGCAATTGGTGGAAATGATGGTAATCTGTTTTACGCGCCACCTCATTAAATGTGTGTTTATATTCTCCTTAAATAGCTTCTTTTCTCTCAATTTCCTTAAATTACCAGGAAAACGCCCATTAGCTGATGTATGGGCTTTGGACACTGCTGCCAAACCTTATGAATGGCGTAACCTGGAACCGGAAGGGGAAGGTCCACCTCCATGCATGTAATTATTTATTCCTTCGCTTCATTTCTTCTATGTGATTGTGTGGCTTTTAATTAAGTGATTTGGATCTCTTGGGTTTGTCCATTATAACTAGGTATGCAACTGCAAGTGCGCGGTCTGATGGCCTTCTTCTTCTCTGTGGTGGAAGAGATGCGAATAGTGTGGTAAGCCAAAGAGTTTTTACTGCCATGTTTATCCCTTGTTTGAAAATAGACATTTGCTTTGCATTGAAGTTTTAAGTTCTGCACCTGGAGGGATTCCAAATGCTGTATTACTCTCAGTTACCATTAAATGAACTCTGCAGTGAAACAAACTTGTTCTACGAAGATAAGGGCATAGCTTTTATTTGCAAATTACTTCAAATAAGAGTTCAAATAGAAAACTATCTATCATGTTCATAAAGTTAAAATTAAAGTTTTAGAGTTTCTTTATCCGTCTTGATCTTTTTATTGCCATGATTAATAAGGCTTTGTGTACCTCTGCATGATAGCCCCTAGCAAGTGCATATGGACTTGCCAAGCACAGAGATGGACGTTGGGAATGGGCCATAGCCCCTGGGGTCTCCCCTTCTGCCAGATACCAGCATGCTGCAGTATGAGATACTTCTTCTTTCTTTACTTCTCTTAGCTAGTTCCATCAGAAAAACCAACCTTTTGGTGGATAATTTTAGGTCTTTGTAAATGCAAGACTCCATGTCTCTGGTGGGGCACTTGGTGGTGGACGCATGGTAGAAGACTCGTCCAGTGTTGCAGGTTAGCAAAAGGAGAGAAACAATCTCATGTTTGTGTAGTTATGGAGATTTTCAATGAGAGAATACTTACCTTTTTTGCTTATACATACAATCTTTAAAATGATGAATATGTTATTTATTATACAACTTTAGGTTGTCTTAATCGATGAATTTTTCCCGAGGCATATTGTTTCTTTCTAAAAGCATAGTTATAGTCATCCTTTAAGCTGCATCATTCTTCCCAACGGACTGTAGAAGCCAAAATTTGATTTAATATTTGTGATTTATCTAAAACAATCAAACAGGGATTGTAAAAGAATGTTCACTCATCTATAACTTTTGTAGAGGGGAGCTACAAAATTCTATTCATACTAACTAGTACATGCGTTCATATAAGCTTCTCTGACTGGTTCATGTTTTTCTCTTTGTTCAGTGTTGGATACTGCAGCAGGTGTTTGGTGTGATACAAAATCGGTTGTTACTAGTCCTAGAACTGGTAGGTATAGTGCTGACGCAGCTGGTGGTGATGCTTCTGTTGAGCTGACTAGGCGTTGCAGGCATGCTGCTGCTGCAGTGGGTGATTTGATATTCATCTATGGTGGTTTGCGTGGAGGTAAGGAAAAAAGCTTGACAGCTATTATAGGCAATATACCATTACACGTTTGTCCATGAAATGAACCTGTCATATAGTACTAAGAATCCATTGATCTGTAAACTTGGCATAATATTTCATCGAGTTGTCAGTGTATGCTAAATTGCTAATGTAGGATTGAACTTTTTTATATAGCTAGTTTGATCTTTTGTTAAAGTCTGGGACTCAATATTATCAGTATTAGTTTGTCAAACTGTTATAGAGTTCTCTCTTCATCAAATATATGTGCCGTTACTTCTTTTCTCTTCCCTTTGCAGACTGTGTATTTTCTTAAAACTATAGCTGCAAAATTTAACAATAATCTGTTGATGCTTTGGGAGTGTTACACTGTTACTTGATGACCTTTGATTCTTTTCTCTTCCCGTTGCAGACCGTGCATTTATTAAACTATAGCTACAAATAGTAACAAAATTTTGTTGATGCTTTAGGAGTGTTACTTGATGACCTATTGGTTGCTGAAGATCTTGCTGCGGCGGAAACAACATCTGCTGCCTCTCATGCTGCTGCTGCTGCAGCAGCAGCAACAAACTCACCACCTGGCCGTTCACCTGGAAGATATGGATTTTCTGATGAAAGAACAGGGGAGCTACCAGAATCAGCTCCTGACTCTGTGGTGCTGGGAAGCCCTGTTGCACCCCCTGTAAATGGTGATATGTATACTGATATAAGCACTGAAAATGCAATGGTTCCAGGAACTCGGTTAGTGTCTTAATTTGTGGTGTGTCGTATTGTTAGCACACCTATGCATTTCGTTGTAAAATATTTATCAAACAACATTGTAGGAGAACAAGCAAGGGTGTGGAGTATCTCGTTGAAGCATCTGCTGCGGAAGCCGAGGCTATCAGTGCAACATTAGCTGCTGCGAAGGCACGACAGGTCAACGGTGAAGTTGAACTCCCAGATAGGGATCGTGGTGCTGAGGCTACACCCAGTGGAAAACCTTCAGTATCATTGATTAAGCCTGATTCTGCAGTACCGAACAGTGTTATTCCTGCAGGCGTACGACTGCATCATAGAGCTGTGAGTCAAACTAACTCTATCAAGTAAAATCTGACATGTTGCAACATATTTCCAACTCATTTACCAGTGGTGTACATCTCTAATTTCTGATTTTTATTTTGCATTTATTTTTGGAACTTTGTAAGGTGGTGGTTGCCGCAGAAACAGGTGGAGCCTTAGGTGGAATGGTTAGACAGTTATCCATTGATCAATTTGAAAATGAGGGACGCCGTGTTAGTTATGGGACACCCGAAAGTGCAACAGCAGCAAGGAAATTATTAGATCGTCAGATGTCAATCAATAGTGTTCCGAAAAAGGTAGATAGTTTTGCTCTCCAAATGAAATGCTGCAAGAAATCATTATTGCCTGCTTGAACTATTGTAGAGAAATTTTCTTACTGTGGCACTGGTCATTTGGTTGGTCTGATAACAATAGGAAGTGTAGTTAGATATGGTAGAGGTCTATAACCCCTTGGTTTAATAAGTTTGGAAACTTATTTGTAAACAGACATGTAATCCTACTAGGTCATGTGTATTGTTCAATGGTATGAGGTTCCGAGTCGACTATTCCATACCTTCTAATGATACACAATTCTATTTTATTAGGTTGTAGCTCATCTTTTGAAGCCTCGGGGGTGGAAGCCTCCAGTACGACGCCAGTTTTTCTTGGATTGCAATGAAATAGCTGATCTTTGCGACAGTGCAGAACGCATCTTCTCAAGCGAACCTACTGTGTTACAGCTTAAAGCTCCTATTAAGATATTTGGTGATTTGCATGGTCAGTTTGGGGATCTCATGCGCCTTTTTGATGAATATGGTTCACCATCAACAGCTGGAGACATATCGTAAGTGTGCAGCTAAATCTCTAAAGCTATGCTATGTGTTGGTCTGACATTGCTGACTGTGTATTAATGGTTGTCAGATACATCGATTACCTCTTCTTAGGGGACTATGTTGATCGGGGTCAACACAGCCTAGAGACAATTACACTTCTGCTTGCGTTAAAGGTAGTTTAAAGAGCACCAATTTAATGCACTCTTCTCAGGTATCATTAACTCTTGATAGGAAAGGGTATAACGTTCTATGGCTGACACTGCAGGTTGAATACCAACATAACGTACACCTGATTCGTGGAAATCATGAAGCTGCTGACATTAATGCCCTTTTTGGTTTCCGGATAGAGTGTATTGAGCGAATGGTAGTGTCTCATCTCTGTGAATCTCTTGTTTCCACTCGTAGGTTCTCATGTCGTGGCTACTTTGCAGGGTGAACGTGATGGGATCTGGGTGTGGCACCGAATAAACCGTTTATTCAATTGGCTACCTCTGGCTGCACTGATTGAGAAGAAAATTATCTGTATGCATGGGGGAATTGGTCGGTCGATAAATCATGTGGAACAGATAGAAAATATCCAACGTCCAATTACGATGGAAGCTGGCTCAATTGTACTTATGGATTTACTATGGTAAGTTCATGTCTAATGCTGTATCATTGTATATTTCTCCTTGATCCTTGTCTCACTAGTATTTCATTTTGCATTCTGTTAGGTCGGATCCAACTGAAAATGACAGTGTCGAAGGTTTAAGACCCAATGCTAGAGGCCCTGGGTTGGTTACCTTCGGGGTGAGTGGTCTTTTTCTTCTATTTCGTGCATTTTGCATTGATTACTGCTCTCTTTCCCTTCCCCTCCTCACATCATACTCCATTACATTCGCTTGAGTGATCTTTTCTTTCCTCTCATTTTGAGCTTCCAACGTGTGAAGGGTACTGATTTTGCTACTTCCTTACTCTTGGCTTATTCATGGGCTGTTAGACAATAATATTGAAGAAGTTAATTCTACTTTCCTTTCATAAGTAGGTCTGCTTGTTCTTTTACTTACGAAAAAGTTGGCAATTGCAGCCTGACCGTGTCATGGAGTTTTGCAACAACAATGATCTTCAATTGATTGTACGTGCGCATGAATGCGTGATGGACGGATTTGAGCGTTTCGCCCAAGGTCATTTGATAACGCTCTTTTCAGCAACAAACTATTGTGGTATGTCTATGGAACTGAGAACTCTGTACTAAGCCGGTAATAAGACCTGATCTGATAGTTTCTTACAAAAATTGTCTATATTTCTTCCTTTTCAGGTACTGCAAACAATGCCGGGGCTATCTTGGTGTTGGGGAGAGATCTTGTGGTGGTTCCTAAGCTTATCCATCCATTGCCTCCAGCAATTACCTCACCTGAAACTTCACCAGAAAGACATATAGATGATACATGGATGCAGGTTTTTATCTCAAACAGATACTAATCCTTATTTTTTCCACCTGGAAAATGGCGTAACTGAGCATTTATATTATATCTTGCAGGAGTTAAACGCAAATAGACCACCAACACCAACAAGAGGACGCCCACAAAATCCAAATGACCGCGGCTCTCTTGCTTGGATATAAACCCCACAGAAAGAGTGACGCGTGCGAGATTACATACTTCTCCCGACAGCCGCCTCTTGGTGATCCTCATGTTGTGTACAGATCCAACCAAACTGTTCAAGTATCGATTGCTATTTACCAACGAGATGGATCACACTGAGAATCAACGAGGGTTCTGAGATATCGGGAAATATCACAGGTTAAGTTCAAGTCAGATGATGAAAGGGTAAAAAATTTGGAGGTGGTGAGTAACTGAGTAGTGAGGAGGAAGAGTATTTGTTGGGTAAAAGGGTTTTTGTCATTTTTATTCATATATTTGATTTTCTTAACTTTGTTTTTTCTTAGTATTGATTAATTAAATTATATATGTGGTATTGGGCTTTTGGTGAGGGACACAAAACGGGAGTGAGTAGGTGTCCCATTAGTTTTGGGGTATTTATGTATCATAGAGAGGTGTTTGGGCGTTTGTGTAATTTCTCTATTCATATTTTCAGTATGTAATTTGTAGCCAACGTTTGTGTGTGTTTATGATACTGAAAATTTTCTCTCCCATTTTTTCTATCACATTCTCACCTAACCATCATTTAAAAACAAAATTCGTCACTTTTCTCCTCTCTTGTGATATTTAGCTTTCTAAAATTGAAAAATCAATTTGAAAGTTAGGGGGTGTTATTCGTTAGTGAAGTTAAAGTCAACTCCATTAGAGTTAAAGTTTATCAGATTTCAAATGTTTTGGGTTCATTGAAAGTGAACCATTATTCATTTTGTCAAATACATGGAAATGTATTTTCAATGATACGTGATCTCATTTGGTTTTCTATAACAGAACTGAATTCAATAACAAATGATTTTTATAATCTAGCCGAAGTCCAACAAAACTTTTGACCATTTTTTTCTTTTCTTATTTCAAGTTTTTCTAATGTTTTGAAGTTTTAACAAAAAAAATATGCTAAAGAATTTATTTATAAAATTTTGGTGATTTCAAATTAAAACTTTAAAAATAAATAAAATAAAAATAAACTTCAAAAAATGCAACGTGAAAACAACCTTAAAAAAATAAAAAATAAAAACTATAAAAAACACATAAAAACTATTGAAAGAGTACCTTGGGGAACACTTTGTCGAGAAGAAGGAGAGAAGACGTGAAAGGAAAAAAAAGAATTTTTGGTTATTCTCATAAATGAGATTTTATAATTATAAAAATATGATAGTGAAAATCTTGAGTAGAAGGTATGATTTTGATTGCTATAATTTACACATGAAATCAGTTTCAGATTCCTTCATATCTTTTCAAATCAAAACATTTGTGAAAATCTGTCAAACAACCAATAACATGAAACTTTAATTGATCATTGTAAATATGATAACCAATAACACTAGATTTCAAACTCTTTTAATATACATATTAGAAATATGAGAACCAATAACACTTGATTTTAAACTCTTTTAATATAGACATTAGAAATCTGAGAACCAATAACACTTGATTTGAAATCTGTATTTACAATCTGAGAACCAATAACATTAGATTTGAGTTAGAGTTAAACTCTATTAATATCCACTAACGAATAACACCCCCTTAATTTAAGGGTTTTTTCCGAATCTACTACTTTTTGTTTTGAAAAATCCTTTTCTGAATCTACCACTTTGTTGTGGCATTGTGGTAGAAAGCGGACCTTTTTGCCTATAACAGCTATGCATATTTGTGTCAGGAAAAAATGATAATAAAATTAAATGCGCATATTTACGTTGGAAAAAGGACGAAAGCATTGCATTAAATACATTATCATGTCTCTTTTATTTTTACATATATTTTATATATTTTTTTTCATTACATTTACGTATATCGAAATAAAAAAAAAAGTAGTTGAAATACATATACGTCGTAGACAATATTTACCAGCTATAATAGAGTAATACTGTAAATCGTCGTGGAGCAAAACATATATGTGGACAATAATTGTCATGTACACAGTTATTAAGATGGATGTAAGTTTTTCCACCAAAATTGAATGATATAAAATTGAGAAAATTAATTTCTGTTGTAGGCAAATAATTAAGATATATCGTAGACAATAACTTTGCCATAAGTAAAAATTAGAATATGCTTAAGTTTGACCGCAAATATATATGTCCTGAACAATAATTATATTGGACATGAAACATATATAGAATAAAATCTCTATAAATTAATACTCGATAATTTAATAACTGCTATAAATTAATATATTTTTCCGGTCCCAAGTTGGAACCAATGTAAAAAGTGACACAATATCATAAACTAATAATTATATAAAATTTTCAAAAAAAATAATATATATATTGTTTGCCATCGTCTTGGATCCGGTGCTCTGTTTATCATCGGAGTCGGTGCTCAGTTCCTCCTCGTTCGCACGCTGGTTGATCAAATCATAAAGACATCAAAACCGATTAAGCAACTACAAGCAACATAAACATAACAAAACTAGAGATCTCTATAGAATAACCTTTACTTTTAGACTAGATATCGGAGATTTGTTTGCCATAGTCTCGGATCCGGTGCTCTGTTTATCATCAGAGTCGGTGCTTAGTTCCTCCTCCTTCGCACGCTGGTTGATCAAATCATAAAGACATCAAAACCGATTAAGCAATTATAAGCAACATAAACATAACAAAGCTGGAGATCTCTATAGGCTAACCTTTACTTTTAGACTGGATATCGGAGATTTGTTTGCCATAAATATATATGTCCTGGACAATAATTGAAACATATATAGAATAAAATCTCTATAAATTAAATACTCGATAATTTAATAACCGCTATAAATTAATATCTTGTTTCGGTCCCAAGTTGCAACCAATGTAGAAAGTGACACAATATCATAAACTAATAATTATATAAATTTTCAAAAAAGTAATATACATATATATATATATATATATAACTCTAGGAAAATCTAGGAAAAATATAACTCTAGTATTATTTGTTTAACTTAAATTTATACTAGTTGAGTTCATTTCTATTATTTTTACTACATCTAATATTTTTGTGTTGTTTTCTGTACATATTTATTTTTAAAACTTGTAATGGGTTCCAAAAATATATTGATTACAACAAAAGAACTTCTTTTCAGAAAATTGTTTTTTTTAAATCATAAAATCAGCCAAATTTCTTAATTAATTATGAATTTATCGATAAATTAATAGAAATTCATGGTCCCGACATTATTACTTTATAGAGGTTTTACTGTATCATGGACATATTTTTTTCTTATTTTCGAATTCGATATGGAATCTAATCATCTTCTCCATCAAAACTATATTTGGAACCCTACCCGAACCTTCCATTGTCGTCACCGGAACATACCTTTACCAGTCGCATTCTCAGAATACTCTTGTAGACATTGTCATCACTTGAACAAATTTTCATCAGTCTCATTCCTAGAATACAAGAATATATATTCAGATAAAGAAAGAAACGAGAGGTGGAGAAACAGAAAAAATATATATATATATATAAGAAGATTTGAGAGTAAATTAGTCTTTTTGTTTATCAAATGTGGTAGATTTGGAAAGGGGAAGGGAGAAGTGGTATTTTTCAAAAGGTTTTCCTGAAAATGTGGTATTTCTCTTAGTTTTCTCTTAACTTGAACAATGGAATTCTTTTTCTTTTGTATTGATATCAAAAAAGAAAAAAAATGATTAAGAAAGTGTAGAAAGCATACATATACATAATAATGAAAATAGAATTTGAAGTTTCTTTGCTCACAATCAAATTGTAGAAAGGAAATATATGTTGTCATACATAGTACAATAGATATGTTAATCTCTAAAAAGTTTTTCATTAACAAAATTCTATACAAACAAATAATTCTACCAAATTTCATGAATAATTTTCTTAATTTCATGATTAAGGTATGAAGTATTTTTCTAAATTTCAGATGTTCTTATTGCAGTTTCCATTTTTTTTGTAGTAATGCATTAAGAAAAACGGCTTAGAATAATTGACTCGTGTAGCATGTACACATTTCAAATTTGACAATGTCAAAACATTGTATATAACTGTCTTGTTCAAAATGAGTGATTTTCATCCTCTTTACAAGCAACACCATATCCCCCTTTTGTACAAAAACAAATCATTGAAGCTTATCTTAGAGCAAAAAGAGTTTGTGACACTCTATCCATCTTTCACTAATACAAAACTTCGTCAACAAATCTCAATTCAAACAAAAATTTTGGGAAGATTGGTCCATCTATCTTTGTGAAACAAGTCTTGTCAAATCCTTGAAGGATTGTGACTTCACGCCAATCTATGGAAGGGGCTTAGAAGAGAAGGAGAAGAAGAACAAAATCATCATTCATGTAAGTATTTTTTGCTCATCACTTACTTGGCTAGTTGCAATAGGATCTTCAGAACTCGTTAGAAATTTTGATAGCGTGAGACCACATATTTAGTTTGGCCTTTTTCACAATGTTGTAAGTTTTGGCTTTCTCATGAGCAGTTTAGATATCATGTGTTCATGAACTGAATTCGTTGCTCATCATGTACATGGCTAAGTGCAATATGATCTTCAGTTTCGCTCAAACGTTCTCTCCCATTTTTTCTATTGTATTCTCACTTTACCATCATTTTAAAAAACAATTTTCCTATATTTCCGTCATGTGATTTATAGCTTTGCAGTTTGTAAGATAAAAAATTCAATTTGGAAGTTAACTTAAATCATTGGAATTTTTTTTTTTTATCGATGTCAAAAAGAAAAAAAAATTAATAAAAAAAGGTGTAAAAATTGTCATATATGAGTTTATATGCTTCAAATGAAAGTTGATAGGTTAAGCTCTAAAAAGTTATTCATTAACAAACTAGGTTATGATTTCCGCGATGTCGCGGGAGAACTCATTTTTAACAAAAATTTGTATCAATTTAATTATGATATATTACATAAATTCTACCAAATTTTAAAGTTATATCGTAAATATTTTCCAAATATTGTTAAAAAAAAATTCAATTAAAATGTAAAAAAAAAATAATAATTAAAACACGATCTTTTGAAACATTTTTTATTAAGGTAAAAATATTTATTAAAGAGATGAGACATGTCAAAAGATTTCTAGAAAGTGATGAATTTAAATTTCATAAATATTTTGTTAAATAAATATTTCTAAAATATCAATCTTAAAATAATATATGTTTACTAATTTTTC